AGAAAACTAGTAAAAATCGTGTCCTAAACTTTGCAAAATTTTGTAATGGTTTTCTCGATGAGAACGAACTCCAGTTCGAATTTTGTGTTCCAACGTTTTACTTTGTGCTCATTGGTCACATTTGAATAACACCACCAATCATACGCGTGCATATATAACACGTGATTATCGTTATTCGAAGCCGCACAAAGCCTCACTGGATCGAGGTCCGGGAACGATGAGAAAACACTTCATGTATCCCAACGAAAGTTCAAAAGTTCGAGACTCCTCTGTTAGATTCTCAGAGATGGGAGCCGCGCGGGTAAGGTTGTCTCCAATCGGATTTGTAGTTATAGGACTTGTAGTTGTAGCGGTAATTTACTACCTATCGACTGATGGAGGAATTGGAGAGTTTTCGCACAAGTATTTTGAGGGGGAAGACACAGTCTCGATGAAAAAACTCATTGTCACTGCAATTCATCTTGCCGAGAAAGGAGGAGTTGTTGTTCGTAAAATTCGAAATGGTGAAGATCTAGGGGTAAGTAACTTCTTGATACACCCTTACTTGAGCAGAGATGTAGTTGCAGACGTTGGGAAAGCAAGAGTTGCTTGAAGTTTTTATTTACATTCAAGCTTAGGCTATGCACCGCTTAGCTGGAGAAGAAAGCAATCTTACTTACATGTAATAGTTTGAGCTTTCTAATTCTAAAAAAATCTTCCAAGGTTACATAACATATCCGATGATTTCTTTCGGAAATTGTACTTTTATTAGAAGAATGCTGATTTGAAAGTAAACAGTTGTTTAAACATTTGGAATGCATGGTTGCGTCGTGGCAAGAAAGAGTAACTTTTGAGAACTGTCAACGTGTACAACTGTGATTTACATATACAAGTTAAAATCGTAAACAGCTGAGTTAAATCTCTAATGGCGATGCGTAAACCACCTACATTTTAGCTCCATTTCCCCATAATTTATGAAATTAAATTTGCTGAGTAAGACTGTACACACAAGCAACATAGTTTCAGACAGTAGTTTATTCTCAGTTTCTTAGCTGTGTAAAAATTTCCATAAGAATATACACTTCCACGGTTTCTGATAATTTTTAATGAGGATCAGTTAGTGAATATTCAACAAAAAGCATCTTTATATCAGTTAAGGTGCCAAGTTTGAAAACCCAAACCTGTCTGGCCTCTTTCCACGCCTTCAGTGCTCCCTCTTCCAACTGATACAGTATTCTTTATGGCTTCCAGTGCAGGGAAATTTGCTTTTCCACAATTTGATGGATTTTCCCCTATTTCTACATTAGCATTGGAGAGACAAGTTTCACTCTGAGGCAGGTCTTTGGATTCCTTAGCTTGTGATCTGGTCTTTACTTGGTTCTTTGAATCTGAAGCCAAAGCAAAAAAATATTGTTAAAAATGATCAAGTCATTCCAACCTGACTGTTCCAATGTTAGTTAAAACTCCTTGTAGCTTGAGCTAGAATGATAATTTCAGTGTACAATAAACATTATGTACCTTGATTGGGATTAGATGGCTCTTCAACACCTTTGCCCTTTAAAGGTTTATTTGCTCGCACACTCTGTCTTGTAACTCTGCTACTTGCAGTCTTTTCTGGTTTCACTTCAACCTATTATACAGTATAACCATGGATGAGTGCTAATGAAACTCTTACAAACAGGCTACTGGGTAGATCCACCATAATACAACCGGGAAGTAATATTCAATAGTGTTAAAGCCTTGAAGTTTTCAGTCTGCCATTAGTAAGGTGAATCTCCCTTTGTGACCAGAGGGCTTAGAAATTTATTTGATATGATACTATGCACTATTGATCAAGCATGAGGTTGAGATGGATGGATATTGGCCAACTTTTTTTTCCACAAAATCATGGTCAATTAAAGATGCAGATAAAAGCACAAGGCCAATTTCCAGTCATCTAGACTGAGCAAGCATTTCCTTGTGAGGGCAAAGAAAGAGATCCACGCTGGTCTTGCCTGCTCAGGTATCTAATCAGGAAAAAGGATTAGCTTCATCTTTCTCACTGGCAAACCCAGGGACAAAAAGATTTTGAAACCTCTTTAGGTGTAATTGTTACAGACATTTTCAACCTGTAAATTTCAACTAACCTTCTCTTTTATTTTACCATTAGCTACAGCTTTAGATTTGGGAGCTGCCTTTTTAGCACCATGCCTGTTCGGCTCAGATGGAGGGTTTGATGACGCTTGTTTTGCAATTCTTGCTGAAGCTCTTGTTACTCGTGTAACTGGTTTTTCTTCTTGTGCTACAAACTGGCTAGGCTTAATCAAAGGACCACCCTTTGTAGCTTTCTTAATTGCACTGGCAAACAAGCTAGCATCCTTGTCATATTTTACATGACGAACCACAAAAGACTTCTTCTGATGAGTTTCACTTCCTTTCTTAAGTTTCCGTTCTTCTCTCCACTTCATTAATTTTTCTCTTCTGCTAAGCTCTGGTTGAGCAGTGTTGTCCTTTTGTTTATCTAAACAAGATCATTGGTAAAGAAGCCTGGGCTGAGTGCTTGCAATTTTACATAAACTAGTATTACAGCACTTGCACTGCACCCTGTTACACTACTGGGTGCCAAAGACCATTTGCATGCATGCATCTCACTCTGCTTTACTAGTGTTTACAGGTAAGCTTATATGTTGTAGTTTGATTTTATCCTTGGTTTTGATTTTATTTTCCTTTGTTTGTGGCTATGGTATTGCATGTAAACGAGTGTGAACGTACACAGGAAAATAAAATTTAAATCAAAGATAAAATTGAACCACATTAATGAATATATAAATGTAATTTGAAGGTAAAGCCTAATCAGCATCAATAAAATCACTGCAGTGTCTTGCACATCTTTTTCAAAACCTAAATTTCGTCGAGTATGATGACCTTAAATTTGTTGCAATTTGCACAATAAGCTATTTAAAGTTAACATCTTAACATTCACAGTGACGGGAGACCTTTGTGAATTATAGTATGTAAATGATAAGTAAGCTTATAAAAGAGCTACATGAAAAAAGACAACAAACACTTAGAACACTCAACGATTGTCGTTGTATTATTACTAGCTTGAAGCTCACCACTTGTGCTTTTCGCTGCACTACCATTATCAATCACGTTTTCATCGGCCAGGGGAGATAAAGGCATTCTTCTTCTTTTGGACAATTCATTCATTCTGGTTTGGTGTCGATTTTCGCTCGCACGCTGAGCACGGACGTTCCGATTGGAGATTCCCAATCTTCCACGAGACTTGTAGGACGATGCATGATCATATGCGTACTTCTTTTTCGCTATATTTTCCATAATTACCTAACCTATCCGAAACAAAATACTAACTTTTACAAAGCTTATGTGTTAAGTTGCTAAGACTGACAAGATGGATGATTTAGCTAAGAAAACTAGTAAAAATCGTGTCCTAAACTTTGCAAAATTTTGTAATGGTTTTCTCGATGAGAACGAACTCCAGTTCGAATTTTGTGTTCCAACGTTTTACTTTGTGCTCATTGGTCACATTTGAATAACACCACCAATCATACGCGTGCATATATAACACGTGATTATCGTTATTCGAAGCCGCACAAAGCCTCACTGGATCGAGGTCCGGGAACGATGAGAAAACACTTCATGTATCCCAACGAAAGTTCAAAAGTTCGAGACTCCTCTGTTAGATTCTCAGAGATGGGAGCCGCGCGGGTAAGGTTGTCTCCAATCGGATTTGTAGTTATAGGACTTGTAGTTGTAGCGGTAATTTACTACCTATCGACTGATGGAGGAATTGGAGAGTTTTCGCACAAGTATTTTGAGGGGGAAGACACAGTCTCGATGAAAAAACTCATTGTCACTGCAATTCATCTTGCCGAGAAAGGAGGAGTTGTTGTTCGTAAAATTCGAAATGGTGAAGATCTAGGGGTAAGTAACTTCTTGATACACCCTTACTTGAGCAGAGTTGTAGTTGCAGACGTTGGGAAAGCAAGAGTTGCTTGAAGTTTTTATTTACATTCAAGCTTAGGCTATGCACCGCTTAGCTGGAGAAGAAAGCAATCTTACTTACATGTAATAGTTTGAGCTTTCTAATTCTAAAAAAATCTTCCAAGGTTACATAACATATCCGATGATTTCTTTCGGAAATTGTACTTTTATTAGAAGAATGCTGATTTGAAAGTAAACAGTTGTTTAAACATTTGGAATGCATGGTTGCGTCGTGGCAAGAAAGAGTAACTTTTGAGAACTGTCAACGTGTACAACTGTGATTTACATATACAAGTTAAAATCGTAAACAGCTGAGTTAAATCTCTAATGGCGATGCGTAAACCACCTACATTTTAGCTCCATTTCCCCATAATTTATGAAATTAAATTTGCTGAGTAAGACTGTACACACAAGCAACATAGTTTCAGACAGTAGTTTATTCTCAGTTTCTTAGCTGTGTAAAAATTTCCATAAGAATATACACTTCCACGGTTTCTGATAATTTTTAATGAGGATCAGTTAGTGAATATTCAACAAAAAGCATCTTTATATCAGTTAAGGTGCCAAGTTTGAAAGTTATATGACAGAAACAAGCAGCTCAGCAAAATAGGCCACTTTTGAGATATTAAAATTCAGCATGATAGCAATTCTTAGGCTCTGCCCCGGCCGTCCACGTGTATTTGGATACTTGTGAAACTGCATCCTCTTTTTACAAATCGGCCTTCCGTCCACATGAAACCAGTGAATCCACGCACTGGAACCGCATATTTTTGAAACTGTCTTCCCGAGGGGATTATTTTGGATCCGATAGGTTTGGTGAATTCATGTGGACGACTGAAACCAGATATTTTTTATGTCAGCTACATCATAAACCTGGGTCCAGGCTTAAATGAAAACTTTGCAAGTTCAAAATGGCAGACAACAATGTTCTGTTGTTCTGACAGGTTGAGAAATGTTGGCTAAAAGTGCTAGAAGAAGGAAAGATACTTCCTATGTATTACAGAATTGTATTCATGTGGGCAAGTGAATCCAAACTGGATACACCACACAGAATTTGTGTATGCAGTTTCAGCATATCGAGATTCGTGTGGACGTGGCCTTAGAGGACACAAACAAAGATAATGAATAAATATGTTTATACATGGACTTGTCCCCTGCCCATGAAAAGTCTAAAAAGTCTGTGACTTTGCTGAGCCATATCTTCATAAGTTTATAACATGTTACTCGCAACTTACAAAGTTTGTTGTACTGTTATTGGCCACATGTGCATTTTCCATAAAACTCCTCAAAAATTTGGAATTTCCCCCAGTATTACAGTTGTCCCAAGAGAAACTTAAGTCAAAGCTTAATGTGAAAAATTTGGGGGTAAACAAGGTGTATTGAATGCAATGTAAAAGTGGCAAAAATGCACAAAAAGTGTAAATCAATAATTTTGCAACCAATCATTCCTTGTCTTTCTTGCTTATTTTACAGGAAGAAAGCAAAGGAAAGACACGTGAAGGAGCTAACAATCCTGTAACGCAAGGAGACATGCTGTCTCACAGGACTATGTTTTATGGCTTAAAAAAGGCATATCCTAAAGTAAATGTAGTATCTGAAGAACATGACCATGGGGATGTTGATTTGAATGATGTAAAGCTGCCAGAAACATCGCAAATTATTGATGGCAGTTTACAGTTCAACAAGGAAGATGAGGTTGTGTCTACTGGCAACCTTTTAGTGTGGATTGATCCGCTTGATGCAACGCAGGAATATACTGAAAACCTTGTTGAGTATGTCACAACCATGATCTGCATTGTGGTCAAAGGAAAACCTGTAGCTGGAATAATCCACAAGCCATTTTTACAACAGACCTACTGGGCTTGGGTGGGACATGGATCCTCAGACAATGTTCAAGTCCCTCAAGAAAGGGATGCTGTGTTAACATCACCAAGGGTGATAGTCTCAAGATCACATGCAGGAAAAGTAAATGCTACAGTAAGATCAGCATTTGGTCCACAATCCAAAGTGATACCTGCTGGTGGTGCAGGCTATAAAGTGTTGTCATTGTTTGAGGACAAAGCTGATGCCTATGTCCATGTGACGTTAATTAAGAAATGGGACATCTGTGCTGGTGATGCCCTCCTGAGAACATTGGGTGGCAAGATGACAACGTTAGATAATGTTGAAATTGAATATGGTAATGCAGAAAAGCCAGCCAATGAAGGAGGACTTCTTGCAGGAGTACACAATCATGCAGAGTATCAAGACAAGCTTGCGCATATGTTAAAGTCATAATGGAGAGCAAAATGCCTGACTCAATATTGCAGTGGATATCAGTAGTTATTATTGTATGACATGATATTTATTTGTAGACAAAAATTGTAAAATTGTAAATTGTAATTTGTTTACCCACGGATCACTAAGGAGTTCATATGAACTCGTTGAAACGTGTCCGTGCATTCCAGATCGAATTGGAATTTGAAAGTGTTGGTTTTTAAGGAGCCTGTAACAAAGTTGCACAGTTTTGTCATCAGGTGCTAAATACTGAAATGCAAGGCCTGTAACTAATATATTATATACACTGTACTGTAGCTAGAGGAATGTCTGGGTATCTGACAGTGTTGTTTATAGTCAACTGCATTGAGCTGTATGTAGGTGGTCGTTGCCTGGGGTGTCTGCAGGCACTTCTAGACAGTGAAGCACTCTCATGCTAGCAAACCCTGCAACCCAATCGTGTGACTCTACAGAGAGTCTTCTGGGCACCTATCACATTAACAGTAGAAACAAAATGTAGCTGGCGAGGGACAAGAATGAAAACAATGATGAATGGAAGACAGTGGCGGATCCAAGGGAGGGGCCCAAAGGGCCGAAAAAAATTTTTTTGGAGTTGACAAAATATCCCTAACTTGTCCATGTTAAAAGTTGAAAAAAAACTGTGGAAGGGACTATAATATTATTGTAATTTGGAAGAAGAAGAATTCTAAGACCAGAAAATTCAGAAAACATTTCGAGCTCAACATGAGAATGAAACTCACAAGTTCTAGTTTGGACAATCTAACCACTGAGCTACTGGAAGCTCTATGGCGAGCAGGGTCGAAATTTAATATTGTAACTACACCAGTCAAAACTGACTAAACTCAAATCAGCTTAATTGAAATTTAGAATTAACAGGCATATTGATATTTAAAGTAACAGAATAACACAGTTTGCAAAAGCAAATTGGAAGAAATACTACTACCATACTTTGTTCTACTGGATATGTACAATAACTGTCTTCTTTGAGCTCTTTGTTAGTTTTTAAAATTTTCAAGAATTGTCTTTGGTAGGAAATTCTAAATTCAACTCAGTTCATAAACTTTGTAGCATTTGGGGTATTTTATAAGCAGGTTTTTATGAGGATTTATTTGTTTTCTACTTTTTATTGGGTTATTTATCTAAGATTTGTCCTCATACCTTACTTTTATGAGAGTGAATGTGTACTGGAAAAGGTGTAACAACTCAAAAGTGATAATTTTAAGGGTGTTGCAGTACCTTTATTTGGCACAGTTAAAAATACCATTTTACAAAATTTGTAAAATATTTAATACAACCTGAATGATGTAAACTGATCCAACCATAGCAGTAGTAAGTTTCCACTGCATTCTAGCCTGCAAAGCAAGCCTTTCTATGTGAGTCTGTTGAGAAAGTTGGAATGCTTTCATACTAACTCTCTACAAAAACTGGCACAGAAATGCTAGCTGGGATTTTCAGTGGATTTTTGAAGAATTCCATATTTCACAGCCTTAAAACTATTTCCCTTGAGTAAGTGCTGCTTTTAAATGAGCACTGCAGAGATAATGAAATATTAAGTCCTACCCAGAATGAGGTCTGTACAGGTCTTGGTGATACTGACCTTTGAAACTTAGCCTATGTGGCAGGCATTCGAAAGGGAAGGCAGGGTGCAAAGAAAGTCAGTTTTACAGCCTGCCATTCAGGCAAGCTGTAGTTAGCATGTACTAGCCCAAAAGTCATTTCAACTAGCCCCAAAACCCTTTTTGATCAGCAGGATTGATTACAATCCTTCTGTAATTTGAATTTCTCAAAAACTAACACTTGCCCATCGGGCAAGTTAAGAACAAAAATCACTAGCCCGATAGCAAAATCCACTAGCCCCAGGCTATTGGACATGACTTTCTTTGCACACTGGAAGGGGAAGGAAATTTGGGAACATGGAACTCAAAATTTGAGTGAACTGGTGTTGCATTTTAGGCTTTGTGTTTATTCAACAAAGCCTAAAATCCACTGAAGTGATGAATACACACTAAACCACAAAGCAATAATGTGATTTTTGGGCTGCCTTTAGATAGCAAGACTGTTTGAGCAGTGCCAGGCAAACAATGTCTTCATTAGAGGCTAGGGTAGAATCTGAAAACTAAATGAATTTGCTTTGAACCACTCATACATACCATTAAAAAACAACAATAATATTGAGGACTTTTATTCCTATAAACACAACCAAAGACGATGTATTACAGTTTATTGAACAAGCTACAATCATACAACTTTTGAATAACTCTTTTCAAAATCCCTAAAACTTGTGAGAGATTTGCAAGATATAGTAAATGCATTTATTTTAGACCTAATGGGACTTTATAAACACCCATTTCAAGGTAAAAGCACCTATTTTAATACTGTCTTGTAAGATTTGGTTCTTCCAAAACATTTTAGAGAGCAAAAAATGTTCTTCTGTTCAGATAGAAGAAGTAAGCTATACAGAAAGAAAGCAAGCATCCCAATACCAACAGAAACTAAAAACACAGAGAAATCTGCAAGGTGACACAGAAAACCTGACATAAGGGAGCAAAACACAATCCTAGAGTTGAACTCAGGACAATGTTGCATGTCAATCAAAATCAGTCACCAGAAAGCTAACTGATAAGTCGATAGTACTCCGTTTTTTGTCAATATTGATTAGTAATATTTGTTGATAAAAGTCGATAATCACAATGATCTCAGGACAGGCAATGAATTTCGATAGACTTACGACACTATTCTGAGAATATCTGTTGAGGATTTATGCGAACTTTATACAAATGCCAGATAAAAAGGATCAGAAGCAACAATTTCAATATCCACTGGCCAATTATTAACAATGATCTCTTCGAGAAGTTTTATGAAATATTAAATTGGATGAAGGACTTTTTAGAAAGTCCACTCGAGCTTTTGCAACATTCGTTTGTATGTTTTTTTATCTGTTTGTAAATGAGTAGCGTCTGTGTGTTTGAAGAATTGTGACGTCCAAATCCTTCTCCTTGCGTAACACCAATTTCGATAGAAACTGAAAATCACACAAAATTTTATGATCAACTTTTATCAATTTCAGATATCTGTTGATTGATTAGTATTGACATTTATGGAGGATGCTAAATTTTAATTGATGATGGAAATCATCAATGTATTACATCCTGCTTAAACTACAGGAATCAAGGTAGCAGTCATACAGTGCAATTTATTCCAACTTTCCAAGCCTCCTAGGGAATAGATAAGATAAAAAATACAGTAGTCATTCACTGGTCATTATACTGCTATTGGGCTATTGCATTTAATATCCATCCCTCTGGTTAAGGACCAATGGAATTCTTCAGGGGTATGCTATAAAAATAGAGGATTTCTTAAGCAGTAGAGTAAAAAAATATGGAATTCTTTGGGGGTGAAGCTTTAATTTCCACAAAATTCTTCAGGGTTAGACCCATATTCTTCCATGTTTTATGGAAGTCTTCGGGGGTGAATCGAATGCAATTAAGGGGTAAGAAGGAAAGGTACGTCCTTAACCTCAACCAGGGGAATACAGATATTAAATCCAATAACCCATTTTACTTAACAGACTCTGTCCAATTTGGCCAATAAGTATCTGCTAAATAAGACTGGTCACCCTTTCCTTTAGTATCCTTTTCCCACTGCTTCTCACACTTTCTGTACAAGAGCATAGCTGCTCTTGCATCCTCCACCGAACAGTGTTCGTTCACTTGAATATCCCACTTCAACAACTGCTTTGTCAGGCGTTTTAGTGATGGTGTTGAGTTCCTAGGGAAACCTGCTAACGCTCGCAAAGGTATGTGCTTAGAAGTGTCCCTGATTAGATCTGAGTAATGTTTCAACTTGAGCACTTTCAGGTCAAATTGCAAGGCATGACCTATAAGTACACGATTTTTGATAAGTCTTTTAACTTTTTTCCTCGCTGAACGAAATGGTATAGCGTTGTCCATGTGTTTTGGTCTAATACCACTCCATTGTGTTCTGTAATCCGTGATGGGCTTGTCGGGTTTAACGTATGCGTCGTAAAGGACATCTCCTTCGTAGCTAACAACGCTACACCTTGCTAAGGCACTTGACTTTTCTTTTCCTACACCGACCATTTCACAATCCAAAGCAACAGGACGCAAAACATGTGATTTGTTGGATTTCCCCTTCATCTGTCTTTTTGTTCGGTTTCCTCCTTCACTTTCAACGTGAAGAGATTCGTTTGAAGAATAATAGTTACTACTATCCACGGACATTGTGTCACAATTACTGTTTGTAAGCCTTCCTTCGCACTGATCTTCGCGATCGAAATGTATGTGTTCACCGCATGCAATGTTCAATTTGCCTTCATCCTTTCGCCGTTGCGGAAAGTTTGTGTTTTTTCTCCACTTGAAATCGTTAGGGTATAATGTGTTCATGATATTGTCTACCAAAGTGTCAATGGACAAGCAAATTTTAAAGAAAGCCTCACATTATTTCATGTCGCCACGTGGTGCAATCGAACCGCCATATTTGTTGTTGCGTAATTAAGAGAAAAGAGAAGGAGCTGGGACTGAGACTAGGTTGGCGCAGCATGCTAGTTAGTTTTCACAGGACCCCATCAATGTTTTCACCACAGCACAGGCAGACCACTCTCTGTTCCGTTGTTTGTTTGTTTGTGAAATCTGGGTATCGCTAGTCTGCTACACAGCCGTTTTTAGTGTCATTACGCAACGCTCCTCCCCACTAGTGGGACGGCTGTGTAGCAGACTAGGGTATCGCAGGAATCGGTCTTTTATACTCGAAATACCCTGTTCGCCTCGCTTGGCTCATAAAAGGTCTGTCATGTAGACTATAAACGACCACCCACCGGAACGTACTTTTGCAATTTTAAAATAGCCTGTAGATCTCTCTAATGACACTGTGTTATGAGGGTCGTTATGACTTAATTTTTTCAGTATAATATTAATGAATCGAAATGAAAGTAATATATAAAAGAGTATCTCTGATTTGACCCAGGAGTCGAGAGAAGAAATTGTAGCTTGTCATGAATTTAGTTTTAAGTGATTTTTCGACAAGAAAATGCAGTCATTAGTAAGAACTTCAGATTTTCATTTTACTTTGCCAGCTAAACTGATTAGGTTTCTTGCAATTACCTCTGGCCCAGTTACGCCGGAACGTAGAATCCCTGGATTTGGATTCCCTTTAGAAAATTTTTTCGTCTTGTATATTACCTATTTAAAGTCAAACCTCTAAGGAAATGTCCATCGTCTTAATACAGGTTTGACCAGACTAAATTACGATATGAAGAGCAGAAGATGATAAGATGACAATGAGAAGTATCCTAGCTGCACAAGACAATTGACTTTTAGGATAACGCATTTAGCCAATTTGACTAATCTTAAAATATTAACAATGTTTATCGTGAAATCTGACAAAATGTATATAGCGAAGACTAGAAAATCACCTATCGGACCAACCCCGTTCCAGGGTTTTCTTCAATTCGTCCTCGGCGTTGGCGAATTTGGGGGAAGCAAGTGCTCTCACAACCGCACCACCATTGCTTGCCAGAAGGCGAAAACGATGCTTGTAAAAAATTTGGAGGGTCAAACAAGGTGTATTATGGGCAATGAAAAAGTGGCAAATAGAATTGTTGGAATCGTGGCTCTCAAAATTTCATTACAAGACTCTTACAAGAGAGGACATCCTATTTTGGCTGCGATCAGTATGTTTTCTTAGGTTGATGTGAAATATCCATACTCACAGATAGGACAAATGCTTTTTTAAGTCAAACTGGGACAACTTATTTAAAACATCTTATAATTAATTCCCTTTTATTTAATTCTTACTCAAGTCTGCATCAGTTACACTCAGTCTACGTAAATAAACATTACTTACTAATGCATAATTTTTAGTGTAGTTTTCACAACAGTTCTGGATAAAAATGTCTGTACACTATTCACACATGGGAAATCAATGAAGCAAAAACTAACACCGGCATAGCAATTTTTGGAGAGATTTCAGAAAGACTGTTTAAAAGCTAGGTAATCATTCCAGCAAGCTAAAATAAAGCAAGAAAAATGTCTTGTGCCCAGCGAAACAATTGAAACAAACGTCGTGTGGTACTAACTACTACTGTTTTTGCTGGAAAATACTGCGTCGTGTCTTGGGGCATACTATTGAAGGAAATTAAGGGGCGGAGGGTTCCGGACCCCTTAAATGTACTTAATATACTTTATTAACTGGTCTGAGGAGATGTATACAACATCCGGCGTAGCTTAAAGAATAACACTTGCGTTGCACGTCACCTCTCAACCACAGGGCAAGTCCAAATTGACAAAATGTCGACAAAATCATTTTGTCAACTGTGTGCGGAAGTTGGAGACCCTGAACAAAAATTCTTGGATCCTCCCTTGTTATCAATGAATGGCTCTCTACTATTTCTGCTCCAAAGGCTACAAGAGAATTGCAGTTCAGGTCTTTGTGACAAGACGTAGGGAAAACGCCGCGGAAGAACTTTTCAATCTGTATGCCAGTCATGCAGTTTACATTTGTGCGTCAGGGTAAGGAACTGTGCCACGTAATTTAGCCAAATAAATCGGCCACTTTGAATTGGCCACCAAAATTAAGTAAAATATAAAAATAAATACTAAATGCAAAAGTAGGTATGGACAAGTAAAAAACGGATCGTTATTGAGATATTTTAAAACTTTTCCAGGACAATTTTTCAAACTGTTCTTCGGGATACGAGATTTTATTGAAGCTACGTTTTTTTTTTCATTTAAAAGGTTATTTCTCTTGCGTTAAGTTACACAGTAAGTATTAGGAAAGTATAGTAACCAAACAAAATCGACTAAACTGTTGTGATACAGTCCCTTTAAAAGAGTCATTCAACTCTTGTGGTATCAGGTTTATATCTTGAGAAATGATGTGATCAACATGTCACGAGCATGGGACAAAGAAAAAATCTGATTCCCGATAGGAATTGAACCTATGACCTTCCGTACACCGGTCGGATGCTCTAACCACTGAGCTACGAAGGACTTGTGGCGAGCTGGGCCAATTACAAGGTTCATGTATGACATGCGTCCTGCGTATTGCTAGGATCAGTACGAAAAGTACGAAATACGAAATCGTCATGTGAGTGATAAACAAAGAAAGATGGTAAACTTTAAGCTCGGTGAAGACATGAAAAATTAGGCGATCAACATGTCACGAGCATAGCGTGGGACAAAGAAAAAATCTGAGTCCCCGACAGGAATTGAACCTGTGACCTTCCGTACACTGGTCGGACGGTCGGACACATGAACCTTGAATATGGCACAGCTCGCCACGAATCCCTCGTAGCTGAGTAGTTGGAGCATCCGAACGATGTACGGAAGGTCATAGGTTCAATTCCTGTCGGGGACTCAGACTTTTAATTTGTCCCGCGATCGCGACATGTTGATCACTTCATTTCTCATTTCTTCACCGAGCTTAAAATTTACCATTTTTCTCTATTTATCAGGTTTATATCTTATTTCCATCTATTTGCGATCCTTGCAGCACATTGGGGTACAGGATGGCGCACAGTAACTTGGGCAAGGTGCAGGGCAAGAACTGGGCTGGGATGTCTTCTGTAGCGCTTGCCAAAGGTTCACCTGCGAGCTCTGACCCGGTGCATAGCCTGGGTTGGGGTACGCGACCGGTGGTGGGCGATACACATTCAGTGGCTGAGAAGGGAAGAAACTTGGAGGAGGTATAGGTTGTGATGGTTGAGGTCTTTGTTCGATTGGACGAAGTCCTGGTGATGCTGGCTGTGTAACGGAGGGTTGTGGTGGGGGGTATTGTTGACGGGTCATTGGCGGAAATGGTTGGCTTGGAAGCGGATACCCCGGGTTGAAGAGAGGGACCGGCGACTGGGGGTGGCTGACAGTTACAACAGGACGGTAGAGTTTTATCCTCCAAGTTGTTTGAGGCGGAGGTACGGGGTTTGGATAGAAAGGAGGTGGAACCTGCGGAACATAACCCTGAGGAGCATAACCCTGCGGAGCATATCCTTGAGGAGAATATCCTTGGGGTAGATACCCCATGTGAGGATAAATTGGGGCAACTCCAGGTGAAACTCCTACTTGAGAAGTTTTCACAGGAGACTTTTCCGAAGCCCCTTTTTTCTTTTCATCTTCTTTTTCTTTGTTGTTTGCCTGTTTCGTTACATGTTGAAGAGTGGGTTGGTAGTATTGTGTTGGCATGTAAACTGGCATTGGCTGGACAGCCGGAGCGGACTGAGGAGCATACGGATAGGAAAATACCGTACCCTGTAACTGAAGGGTGCCTCCTTGTTTGTCCTTTTTATTTGGGCTCATCTGCAGATACTGCGGAGCTGCCTGAATCGGCATCTGTGGAAACGGCTGTGGGGGTGTATACACGGGTACCTGTGAAGAAAACGTCGGCCTTGGGATGGACAGGTATGGCTGTGGCACTGGAGGCTGAGGTTGTTGTTTTGGCATAATTATGTATCGTAGTGAGTTTCGCAGTGGGTTGGGTGAGACTTGCTGCTGGACTGGCTGAGGCCGCAGGGGAACCTGGTATGGATTCTGTTGTGGTTGCATTGGCGCAGGGAAATACGGCTGTGGTCGAGCTACGTATTGATGTTGCTGTGGCAACTGGTAAGGTGTTGGTGGAGGGGGGACTCGGTACTGATACGGCGAGGGCTGAGGGACTGGATAAGGGTTCAGTGGCCTCGCGGGATATTGATTTTGTGGAGGATAAGCTGGCATTTGATTGGCTGTGTTGTAATAAGGCTGAGAGCCATATGAGTTATATCCAAGCTGTGGTGGCTGTTGCTGTGTGAAAAACTGCTGACCAAAAGTATCACAGCACCATGGGCTACAGGCGACCGGTGAACATTGTGAGACAGCACAATAAGCTGGGCACGTCGTACCAATTTGGTCCGCTGATGGAAACAAAATAGGGATTATTTTGTATAGCAAAATAACATACAATTAGCGGTTAAAATGTGCTAACTACACTGGTTGATCTAAAAGGCATTAGTTTGGCTTATAATACTAAAGGTTCTGATGTAGGATCATGTTTACGTACTAAGTGGTGATTTTACTTTCAAGGTACAGTCAAAGCCGCTATTTATACTTCGCCATCGAAGGAGCATGAAAGCCGAACTTTTAAAAGATTTCAGTTTAAAGGTAGCGCCAGTTAGGAACGTTAACAGTCCTAAGAAACTGCACAAGTTTAGCCTGACACCCGCGGTTCCCATGGCAACATAATTAATCATTAAGAATCTTGCTTGCCTCACAAAGAATACTTTTTTGTGAAAAGTTCAGAAAAATTCCTTGTTACGGCAAAAACTTGAGACCTTGATTGTTAGGCCGAGAGAGCCTAACAATTTCCAAACACCCGCGACCCTACAGCCTGACCCAACCAGGAGGGGAGGGTAAAAAGAGGGCAAATAGCGGTTACATCTTACCAGTGATCAAAGTGGTGTTGATAAGCTGGACCTTTTCTCCGTGTAGAGTACCAGAGATGACGCTTCTTTTTGTAGAGTTATTATTTCCCTTTCCTTGAATGGCATCGCGAAGAAACTGGATTGGATCGGTAACCGAATCGTCATCGGGGGTAAAACTTAATTTTATGTAGGCCAGTATCTTATCCTGCTCTCCTTTGCTATAGAGAAAAGAAGAAAGTATATTCATAAACAAAATAAACCAGCAACTCACACATATCCTTGTCCCCGATAAAGTTTATTTTACATGATTTATTCTCCGTAATTATGGAGCCGCAATGAGCGAAAATATATGCGAAAACGTCATGAAATGAGGTTAGGGTAACATAACAAACTGCACCCTGCCTCCACCTTCTAAGCAAAGATAGCCTGTTTGATGTTTCCTACAGACAACTTAAGCAGCGGAAAAACATTGCCCGGACAGGAAGAGAATGCGGATATTGCATTATCCTCGACTGGGAGCTACAATATTTCCTGTGTCCTGTACACTGTTGAGAGTATGGGAATTAGCCCTAACTATTCTTTACTACGAACTAGTTAACAAAAGTTACCGTATAGAAGGCAAATATAATCCATTCACTTTAGAGGGCTTTTTAAATAGCCAGTGTATATTTTAGCGTTACCTGAAATGATCCAAAGTAACCTCTTCAAACCAGTCAAAATCACCATATACAGAAAGAAGCTGTCGGGAATAAAAAGCATAACCACAATCAGTAGACAGATTCAAACTCACTCGCGAACACAGCGCAACGTCATGAACATCCAGTGAAGCTCAATCAATGCTATGTAAGCTTACTGCTTCCTGAATATTTCTGCTGAGAGCTTGGTGTCGAGGACTTCCTGGCATATACAGGTTATCTGTCCAGAGTTTATCTTCGTAACGAATGAGAACATCCAGTGAAGCTCAATCAATGCTATGTAAGCTTACTGCTTCCTGAATATTTCTGCTGAGAGCTTGGTGTCGAGGACTTCCTGGCATATACAGGTTATCTGTCCAGAGTTTATCTTCGTAACGAATGAGCACCATGTACATTGTAAGGCCTGGAATAGAAAGGGTCCCTCATGAACGTATGTATCACTAGGGCCATTTACTATCATTTTTGTTTTGTTTTTTTTGTTTGTATACATAAAAAACATAAGAGATAAGGTTTTATGGACAGACAAGGCCAATATTCAGCCAACTTAACCGCGAACATTCTTGGTCATTAAGGATATATTTCATGGCCAAAACAAAAGTGAGAGTCCCAATAGGGTTCTTCAATTCCGTCATCCGGCCTGACCCAAATTTTTGCTCAATCCCGTAATCCCAAGGGTTATTTTCGGCATTCCACATCGTGCCCACTTTCAATCCCGAATCTCGCCCCCATTTTGCTTTAAAATCCCGAATCCTGGCCTTCAAATAAGGGAAATCAAAGATCCCGAAAAGCTATTGGGGACCTTCAAAACAAAGCAGGAAATCCCGAATAGACATGATAGGCTTATTTCGCCCGCTCTGGGTAGCCAATCAGGACGCAGCCATAAAAGTGAATAAAAACTGGTTCTAATCAACCAGTTTTCTTGTGTTTTGGCGATATGTATCTGTGCGTGGAAATAAATGCACTCAATAACATGTTTCATGAATGTGTACACATTTAGACTCTTAGTCCGACACACAAGATGCTTAAGTATCCGAACTGTTTATTGTTGTATCGACAGTGCAAACCCATCCCAAACCCATGTGCAGAAGCTCAAAATCCGCTGATTTAGTACCAGGCGCTCTCAGAAAATTATTCTTATTTCAAAGGCCATTGAACACGTATTCTATATATAAATGAACATTAAACATTTTTTCCGATAATTTCACTTACCTCTAAGGGGTCGCTTGCAAACGAATCCTCTTGCCTTATCGCATGGCTTGTACTTCCAGTTAAAGTTTGTACTAATAACGCCGCATTTTTTGCCAGGAAATATTGTCTGGTAATAATCCCAGTTGTTGTATACGTTTTCAGTCCCGTCCAACCAGGACATGACACCAACAGTATTTAAGTCACTTATACCCATCCAGGCATCGGATGCGCCACCAGAGGTCTATAAATGAAAACATAAAGAAAAAATAACTTAAGTTTTTTCACGAAGCTCTGTCTCGAATATATGCTTTTTGTTTTGTCCAAAACTTACGTTTATATAAGGTAGGTTCAATTCATCTCACCTGATTTAAAATTATTGTTTTAATTGCAATCGGTTTTCATCCGTCTCCACACAATCTAAGTGCTCTACTGTGCGTTTCTCGTGTAAACAGCTCGCCAAGATTTGTTAGGAAGTGTAGGAAAAGTTGGCCCGCCTCGGGGCCCGGGGGGTACTTTAGGAATTTTCCAGAGTGCCGCTGGGACTCTGGAACCCTTAGCCTATACCAGAGCTAGTTCAGCTGAATTTTGCTACCCTATACTAGACTAAACTCCCCAAATCCATCCTATTCTAGAGTAGCTTAGGCTGAATTGCGTAAATTTAATTTTGCCGATTTGATTTTTTCTTATTTTTGAGTAACAATTCCCGGTTTCCTTAGTCTAGCCTAAAATCTTCAACCAATTGATTAGTTTCCTGGAAAATGATACCCTATTCTAGACCCAAACTCTCTGATTTATATACCCTATCCCAGGGTAAACGCCTTAAAAACCATACCTTTCACAGATGTACATACCTATATAGCCCATATATGGCAGGACCCNTTTTCAGTCCCGTCCAACCAGGACATGACACCAACAGTATTCAAGTCACTTATACCCATCCAGGCATCGGATGCGCCACCAGAGGTCTATAAATGAAAACAGAAAGAAAAAATAACTTAAGTTTTTTTACGAAGCTCTGTCTCGAATATATGCTTTTTGTTTTGTCCAAAACTTAAGTTTATATAAAGTAGGTTCAATTCATCACATCTGATTTAAAATTATTGTTTTAATTGCAATCGGTTTTCATCCGTCTCCACACAATCTAAGTGCTCTGAGCCTTACAGATTCTCGAGGCATGTTGGTCACCTCTTTTTTGCTCTCGTCCCAACTTGCTCGACGAACTGGCGAGGAAAAGCTTGCTACGCAGGCTATAGCCGAGCAAACTGTGCGTTTCTCGTGTAAACGGCTCGCCAAGATTTGTAAGGAAGTGTAGGAAAAGTTGGCCCGCCCCGGGCCCCGGGGGGTACTTTAGGAATTTTTGGGTGGGGATGTGCCGCTGGGACTCTGGAACCCTTAGCCTATACCAGAGCTAGTTCAGCTGAATTTTGCTACCCTATACTAGACTAAACTCCCCAAATCCATCCTATTCTAGAGTAGCTTAGGCTGAATTGCGTAAATTTAATTTTGCCGATTTGATTTTTTCTTATTTTTGAGTGGCAATTCCCGGTTTCCTTAGTCTAGCCTAAAATCTTCAACCAATTGATTAGTTTCCTGGAAAATGATACCCTATTCTAGACCCAAACTCTCTGATTTATATACCCTATCCCAGGGTAAACGCCTTGAAAACCATACCTTTCACAGATGTACATACCTATATAGCCCATATATGGCAGGACCCCCAGGGGGCCCTGGTTGTTCTAGTAGGCTAGTAACCCTTCTAGTGGCGGATGCAGATCTTCAGATAAGAGGGGGGCTGTCATCCAGACTTTGAGTTAGGGGGGCGGTCTAAAAAAAATTTTTTTCGGCTCTTTGGGCCTCAGTTTGGTCTAAAAATAAGGGGGGTGGGCCCCCGGGGCCCCTTCCCTGGATCCACCACTGCCTTCTACCCAGGACAAGTTTTCTCCATATGTAAGGGGTCTTAACCATTTCAACCCCATTCCGTGTCTTCTCCCGTGCGTATCAACACATATCTCACCAGAACAGTCCTAATGAAAAACTCTTCAGCTTGACTCTCGATGGACGCTAAAGTGGAAAATCGTTCAGCACACTTCTCTGCAGCTTGAACCCAGTTTACTGGTCCAGGGAAATACTTATAACATACGTTGTCGTAGAGTTGATATCCAGTGGGACAATTTGCTGTCAATAGGAGGAAATCGTTGAAATTTAAAGTTGAAATTACTAGTGGCATTTTGTTCAAAGAGTACTTGCAGTATTTACAAGGAAAGAAACGCTCTGTTTCAGTTACACTGAGTTCTATGTGTTCTTTTAATTTAATGATGTCAATTGGTGACTGGCGGTAATATATAAATGTGAAAAATACTTACATAGTCCTCGCTTTCCAACACCACTACCTACAAGGAAAGAAACAAAAGCTTCAGAAACAAAGGATGAAGATCAGGATGTAATAAACTGTTATCTTGTTTACGCTAAAGAACATCATTCCTTCATTCATTCTTTTTTTTGCCATAGACAACATTTTACAACGCAAGGTTGGAATAACGAGATTAAAGAAAAGTAAATGGCGAGGAGACCTGAAAGAAACCACGAGGCTTATAATGAGTCAGGTACTCCAAGAGGTGTTCTTAAGTACATCACTCATTTCTGCAGAGCAGAAAGATAGAAGAAGAAAGTACTGAAGTCTTACAGTCTTGAAAATCAATCTTTCTTTCAAATGCTACAAGGAAATATCACCAGATCTTAGCTCAGCACCATGACGTCATAACCATCGTTAGTACAAATAATGAACTGTTGGCTGCTTTTTAGGCCGGTTGTTCGTAAGATTTTGTTGAAAGAACTATCTATCTTGATTTAAATCTTATTATGCTAACCTGTTACGGGTCGCACGTTATGCAGATAGTCGCCTTTATTTCCAGGTGGATTAAATAAAGCGACAATGTATGTCTTTCCACTGGCACCCACTGCCTTTCCAACGCCAACTTCCTGTGATCCAACCCATACGAGCTGCGAGAAATAGGCGGACTTCAATGAACCTTTGGCACTATGGAAATCGTAAAATCTGAGTTCATTATACCAGGACTGTACGCTTCGTCTAGCAATTTCCTGTGTGTCCTTAGATGAGAAGATATTCTGGCCATATTTAGAGTTGACATCGATTTTCTCCTCATCGTTACTGGCGAGTTTAGTGGCCCAAAGCTCTGCTTTGTTCGTAAGGTCGAGCGAGAGCTGGAGGGGAGCAGCAGCATGCATCAGACGATATCTGTTCATGAAGTCAAGTTCCTTTTTCAAGAATGCTTCCTCAGAAGAGGCTAAGGAAAGATACAACAAA